TTGTGTAAATAAATGATTGCATAATCTTTTATGAATCAACTTGAACCAGTCTGAGTTCCCTCKTTGTGTCACTTCACTTTGCACAGACAAATATTAAGTAATGAGAAGAAACCTTGGTAAAATTTTACTCTTATAACTTTGTTATGAGAAGATGTGGATAAGTTATTTGAATAAATAACAATCCCTACACCAACACTAGGCAGAGGTGCACAAGTCTCAAAAGTAGCTGGCAGCTGGTCAAATTCACAGTGTAAACTCTCCATTTCACTGCATTTTCACCAGATACTTTTACTGCAGCCCAAATATATTATAGTGGGAATTTCTCACTTACAAGCTGTAAATTTAAACTGGAATGACCCTCCAGTGGAAATTCCCTATCAGAGAGTGGGAAAGTTCAGAATTCAAGACAAAACTCAGCAGTAACTGTCTTACTTATACTTATAATAGTATTTCTGTATGATTTATTTCACATTTCATCAGTCGTACACAAAGTACTTTTCAGTATTTATAAGGGGATGTGTTAAAACACTGTTTCCATGCAGGAAATACCATGTAGAGCTCAGTTGTTTTTTGTTAGCGGTGCTCAGACATAGCAACGAGGTGAGGAACGTGACGTGACTGATTTAACATTTAAACAACTTATCCCAACTTTTGAAAATTTGTCTTTGCTGAACATGGCATAAAAATGCCTCTTTTAGATGTATACATTCTGTAATACAAACAAGTTAAATTAATATATAACCTATGAGTAACTTTTCCATAACTTGATTCTATCTTATACAGAACTTATACAAGCTGATAACTAGGCCTGTCGCGAGAGTCAATAAATCAATTAATTGCACGATAAGTTATTTTGAGGTCGGTAAAAAAAAATGAGGACGATAAGTTTCATTTTCCRGCTTGTTGGTTTACTTCGTCTCTCTCCCTCTCTGTGCTCCGCTGCACAGGAGCTCAGCTGACTCCTCTCCTCTTGTTTTCTTAAGTGTCGGGAGGAGTGAACTCTCGCTTTAGCATGAGAGCTCGTAGCAATAACAAACTAAAGAAACGTTTCAAAGCAAAATGCGGCTGCTGCAGTGTCGGAGCACTAGAGCCTGAATTTCGCTGCGGGGAGACACACAGAGAGAGAGAGAGGAGGAGAAGGCGTGGGGGCTGAAACTCCCCCAGACCCACGACAAACTCGTCAAGACTTTACCTGTAGCTCCCAAAAATAGCAGGAAACTTAAACGCACCATCTGTGTTTTAACAAAACACCCAAAAAAACCTGTAGCTGTCCCAACAACTCATGAGGAAACCTCTGAACTGTCTGATTTCCTCCCCCACAGCGCTCTTCTTGTCTCCTCACTGACTGTCCCCTCCTCACACACACACATAGACACGTTTGTTCTTCTATCCTCATGGGGACTTTGCATTGACTTTCATTCATTTACCAGTATTTTCTATT